AAATAATCCCTATTGTTAAACACCTTCATTGCCACACTCATCAACTTTTCCCTATTCTCTCCCTCAAATCCTTCCATCCACTGAAGTTTCTTTCTAATATCTGGGGCCGACTGAGCAACAAAAGCCAAATTAATTGCCTGTCAATTTGCAGGGGCATCTGGGTCAATTGGAGTATATGTACGGTACGCTTCCAACAGACGCTCCAGAAAGGCAGAAGGGGATTCCTCAGGTCCTTGAAGGACCTCGCTTACCTTGCTCAAGTTGGTAGGCTTTTGAGCGGCTCCCCTCAAGCTGGCTAGGAGATGCTGACGGTAGTTTTGGAGAGCTTCTCTCCCACCCGAGGAATTAGCTTGCCACGGGGGACGGGTGGACGGAAGTTGTGCCTCAATACAGGCCCGCTGTTGTTCATCGAGGGGGCCCTCTGTTCCCCCTAACACTGACTTTATGGCTTGCCCTTGGATCCTTTCTCTTTCCTTGGAGGTAAAAAGAGCTTGGAGAAGTTGTTGACAATCATCCCAGGTTGGGTCATGTGTATGAAAAACAGATTCTAGGAGGGAGATCAAAGCCTGGGGTTTTTCTGAAAAAGGGGGATTTTGATGTTTCCAATTATACAGATCACTGGTAGAGAAAGGGATATAGACATAATTACCCTGTTCTACTTCCCTAAGAGGCAGAAGAGGAACTGAACTAGTCCCTTCAGTGGGAGCTCTGTGGGGACCATAAGCTGCCCCTGTTTGTGTGTGGGAGGGGGAAGTTATAGAATCTGGAGATTTTCCTTCTTCAGGAAGAGGAGGGGAGAGAGAGTTTTGAGCTCTGGGGCCGGCTTTATCAGAGGAGGAGGATGGCTCCACATAGGGTGGAGGTCTTATAACAAGATCTAAGGGGTCAGGATCTTGTGAGAGCACCAGCTTGGGAGCCTGGGTTTTGGCCTCTTGGGGTTCCTTTGGGGCCATAACCAGAATGCGAGAGTTTGTTCACAGGGAACAATGCTGCAACCATGCTGGAGGCTCTTGACAAGCCCGGACCCAGATATTTATATATGGAAACTGATCAGGATGGCTAGGGTGCCCGGTGACCCTTCTCCATACTGCCCTGCAGAGACCTGGGTCAAAAGAGCCCTCAGCTGGCCATCCAACTCCAAAGGCCGGCCATTCCAATTGACACAGGGAGCGAAGTTTTCCGTGAGAAAATTTAACCCCATATTCGTTCTCCTGTTCAGGGGAAAAAGCCAATTTAAAATTAGTGAGAAAACAATTCAATGGGGTATTTCTGGAGCAGGATCTTCCCATTTCTGTCCTGATGGTTTGGAAAGAAATACAAAATTAAACACACAACGGACAGGACACTAATGCACGAATGACAAGACAAACAGGTGCCACAACAAAAGCAAAACTAAACCTTCCCTTGTTCCTCGTCAGGAACCTTGGGGTCAGGGGAGGCTTACCGGCCCATCAGCCACCTCACTCCTGACAACAAACGGTTGCAACCAGCCAAAAACTTACCTCAGGAGGTTTTCTGAGGTCTGTGCCTGAGTCTCCTGCTGGATCCCACCACAGAGTCTCGGCTGAACCGGGGTTCCTTACCCAGGGATATCGCTGGGGCCTCCAAAATGTAAGACCGAGGGCCTTACCAAACGCTCCGAGGAGCTGACTAGTGAAGCACACCCAGGAATCCCAGTGGTGCCTTCAGAATGTAAGACCAAGAGCCTTACCAAAC